TATATATATATATATATATATATATATATATATATATGAATATATTATATATACAAGGAAAATATAAATTAATAAATAGTAGTAACATAATGGACGAAGAAAATCTTAGAGTGAATATAAAATATTAGCGAAATGTTACGTGCATAGAGCGGAAGGTGAGAGGGTTAAAAAATCAATTTCACCTACATTAGATGTAAAGTATCATTATAAAATATTGATTTTTATTCCGTACTACCACTTACGTTCAATAACCCATCGTCTACTTATAATGGGACCAACTTTTTTATTTACGTCTTTCGCTTCACCATTTATTAATCAATAAATTAAATTTTAGCATGTAAATTTATTCAAATGGTTGAATTATGATGATGATAATAATAATAATAAGTAAATTTAATACTTATTGGCAGTTTCATCGGTTGACACGAGGGCACGTGAATATTTTTTTTTTTATTTAAGCAAAATTTAATCTTTTATTTATGAATAAATAAAGTTACGCATAAAAAATTTTTCCTGTACAAACTGACCAAAAAAAATTATATTATTTTTAACTTCTGTAATAAATATATATAAATTTTTTATTTTAATGCAATCTTGACCAAAATTATCTTTGAATTAAAATAAAATTTAGATGAAATAACGAAAATTTTTGTGAAAGTACTATGAATTCTATTAATGGAATAATTAAATTATTAAAGCTCAATATCAATCAACGATTACAAAAAAAGATTTATCAGGCTTAAAATTAAGTGGAGCTTTTACGAATTTAAATAATAAATAAATATCGAATGATAAAAAAAATATCACAAAATAAACTACTTTAATATCATATCATTCAGGATCTAAAAAGTAAAAGTAAAGTACAATTTAAAAGTGTTTGGATTGTTAATTAATATAACCTGATAATAAAAATTGATCTTCACAAATCTACTGAATAAAAATAAATAAAAATTTTTGGTACTATAGCTATAATATAGCTTAAAACGTAGCCTCGTGTGAACGATTAATAATATTTAAAAGCACAAAATTAGTATCGAGTATAAAGATAAAATAGAGATTAAAATTTGCGAATAATAAATTTGCTTGAGTAATCATAATCATAAAGATAAAATTAACAATTCTTGGCTTTATGAAGAATAAAGGTGGAGCTAATTGACTACCTGAGGTGTCCCATCAATAAATAAAATTCCGCCGATAATAAAGTATCAGAACAAATTGGTGCTGTTTATTAACTTTTAAATTATTTTTAATCTTATATTATATTATAATAAATATTATATTATTATATTATTATTTATTAGTACAATAATTGTATTTTATTGGTCACAATTATTATCATTTGAATCCCAATTTGGTTATACATATAGATAAATGAATGACTTATAATTAATTAAAGTAAATAATTATTATTAAATGTAATATTTAAAATGAGAGGATAACCTTCCTCCAAATCCGTCCAGTGTCTGATTTGGAGCAAGGATCGATTAGATAATTTTGAGCGGCTATCAAGAGATCTTCCATAGATTAGAAAATAATAAAAATAAATGTAAAACTTATTTGAGTGATTAAAAAAATTTTAAAATTCATTATTTGGCAGTTGTGTTTAACAAAAATATGTTTTATTGTTAACGAGCACAATTATATCAAATCGAGTTGAAACTTTAAATAAGATTGTTTAGTGCCACATTTAAAAATAAAAAACTAAATTTATTAAAATGTCATCGTTGCTCCCACAATTAAAACTATATACTTAGCGAGAAAAATCAATTATTAAATAATAGATATTCAAAATAATACAGCCTAGTTTAGTATCTCTAAATAAACGAGTCCGAATAACAGAAATATAATTATTTTAAACAAATAAAATCTGTCACTTGTCAGTGCTGTTTGTTCCATTACACACTAGTCAATGACATAATTGTGACAAGATATCAAAAACATTTATATATAATATATATAAATAATATCAATGATTTAAAAAAAGCTACTGTTTACTATAATTTATTTGTCTTTTCCCTCTCAGCTGATTCCCGAAGGCTATCTTCCTGTTTCCATGTTTCCGTTCCACCCTGCCTCCTCTAATAATTTAAGAAGCGGTATATCTATTCCACGGGGTCATTCGGCGGCTAAAGAAATTATTTTGCCAAATGATTGTTACTGGATTGCCCAGAATGTTGGGTACCCTGTTACTAATATTTCAGACCCTAACTCGGTAATTATACTTGTATTGTTATAAATATTTTTAGGAGGTTCAATCGCTTTACATATTAAAATCATTGAAATTTTTGGTAATTACTTACAAGTGAAGTCAACCTCATTTTGGACCCTAACTAGGTGAAAAATTAACATTTAAAAATTTTTTTTTATTCTTGTTTTTACGGCGCATTTATGATAAAAAATGTAGTGAAAGGAAAAAATAAAGATTTCGATAGCTTTTTTGCTTTCAAAAGTTGGAAAAAAAATTGGCTTTCATGTTTTTGGATAAAATTTCTATTTAATCTTTTTTATATATATTTTTTTAAAGTACATAAAAAAAAAATGAACAATTTAAAAAAAAAATTTAACATGGCCCTACTTGTAAATAATTACCAAATTTTTTCATAACATGTTCAATTCAATGACACTGAAATAAGCAGACACTTGAAAAAATTTTTGGAATTTATTAGACAAATAAATTAAGCCTCAAAAATTATTTTAAAAATTGCATTTATAATTTTTTACAACTTCTAAACATGGAATAATTTTTTTCTCTTCCTATAATTTATTTGTTAAAAAAATTCTGAAAATTATCAAATGTTTCTCAACTTCAGTGTCACATAATACAGGTAATTATATTAATGTACATCTTTTGAACCTATTTATACTTAAAAACAATAATAAAATTTAATTTATCAATTCACTAATCAATTAACAAAAATCAATTACTATTAATAAAATTTTAGAACTATGTAACATTTTTGGAAGTGCCTCGAATGAACCATGAGTGGATCCATCACCCAAATGCAATACAAGTGTCTCAAAATTACACTCCCTTGATTGAGCGACCGTCTTTCGTGTATCAAAACACACGAATCCACCCCGAAGCATCGAGACAAGCCAATCAATCACCGGATAAAAAATCTTCTGGCAGTGACACCAGCTACTCCAGTGTCAACAGTATGACTTATTCAGCTTCCGACAAACTTAACTCGGGCAATAAAAAAGACCCACTAATAAAAGAAGATACCGATGAAAACAACGAAGAAGAAGAAGAAGAAGAAGAAGAAGACGATGACGAAGATGATGATGATGACGAAGACTATAACGAAGAAGAAGATGATGAAGACGAAGAAGGAGATGAAGATGACCATTCAATCAATATAACTTCATAATTTTTGTTACTGTTTCTAATTTAAAAATATTATTTTATTGCATTTAATTTGTTCAATTAAAAAATACTTTATTGTATAAGCGTTGCTCTTGAATGTTAATTGTATATTTAGAAAAGGATATTTAAAAAAAAATAATTTTTCGAGTGATTCAAAAGCCGTCGGTGGGGTAATCGTTGTTGAGCACGAGGAAAAGATAGGATTTTATATGACGGCGGCATACCTCAAATATAATAGACAGTATAAATGAAAAATGAATACCAGTGGGATAAGTCGGGTACGGGTTATTGCCCACCCATCAGAAGTTCAGACTCACACTCATCAGCGTGATTATCATCAGCATCGTCAGATCTCCGCAGCATCTTAATATAAATATAAATATAAAATTCCCTTTTTTTTTTTTTAATATTATATCTTCAATCTACAATAACACATTAAATAAAAAAAAAATATATATATTTATATCTGTATTCTGTATTATTAAAGGAGAGACCGCCGGGCGTCAGTCAGGTGTCGTAAAAATTTTACTCGGGCACTGCGTAACATTAAACACTGATTAACCCAAGAATTTTTATGGCACACACCTAAACCCGGGTAACCGCATACATCTTATTGTTGATTGTTGACGGGTTTATTTGTTCTATCTATGCACAGATAAATTTTTTTTTTTTTTTTTTTTTCAGTTTACTTAACAATTAACATTTTAGTATTTATCCAGCATTAATAATACATTTCTATTTTAAAGTAAAAATAAAAATAAAAAAAAAATAATAAATTAAGCGTTTTTGTTTTACCCGACGAATCATTCGAGGAAAGTTCATATTATAACTGATATTTCGTAAAAATTTTAAATTACATGAACAAATATTAGTGAACAGTTACTCAAAAAATAAATATAATATTATTTGAAACAACCGCTCGCAGCCAGTCAAACACCGAAAAAATATACTTTACTTATATATACTTAAATTTAATTTTATTCTGTTGATTTTTTTCATTTATTTCCTTTTTAAATTTTTTTTTATTCTCAATTTACTTTTAACACTTTTGTTCCATTTAATTAAACATCCATTAGTTACACAACTTTAATATTCATTTTTATCTTTGTTAATTTTTTTTTTTTATTAATAATTACAATTAGTTATTCATATAAAGCGCAAAAGATAATTTTAACATTTATATAAAGTAAATTTAATTTAATAATTGGTCAATAAAATGAATAAAAATTTGTTAAATATTTTAAAAAATTATAACGGTTGTTTTACAATGAAAATTAAGTTAGCCGACATTTAAAAACTTTTTAATTTTTTTTTATTGAAAAAATGACTGCAAAAAAAAAAAGAAAAAAAATTTTCATTAGTAAAAAACTTTAAAAACTGTAAGTGCAATTAAAAAAAAAAATATTTTTTTGTTCTAATTTAATTATTAAAAAAAAAATAAAAATTTCGGCTAACTTTACTATCATTATTTTACATTCTATTGAAAAATTTATAAAAAAATACTTACTTTTTGTAAAAAAAAATTGTTTTCACACTGTAAACACTGATTAACAAGCTCTATAAACAAAACTAAGAAAAAACCAATGAATCATTAGCAAATAATAGCGGAACCTCAGAAACAATCTGTAAAAATATTAGATAAAATTTCTTAGATTCGCAATTGAAAACTAATAGTCGCAAAATTCTCACCCACAAAATAATCAGTGTAAAAAAAGCTCCTGGAGATTTGACAAAGATTATCGCGGATTTTGAAAAATGTTTAACAAAACTAATACCGGGTACCGTAACGAAACCAGCAACCAGCAACTAGCGAGCAGTAGTAGAATGGGCGGCGACTTCCTGGTTTATTTAGTACAGTACCTTGACTGCAATAGTTTTGGTGTAGAGCACGTAGTTTAACTAATCCGGAGGTGCTGTATTGGCTAAAGTTTGAGAGGAAAAGGCGTGTCAAGTTCCCGGTTAAAACGATCTTTCATCCAATAAAAATTCTCACAGGTGTACCAGCAGGTGAGAACCAATGGTCTTCCAGGTCGGCCATACACGCAGGCCCTAAATGATCCTAATAACCGGTAATTATCACTTGTATCTCGGTCTTGGAGCTACAACCAGAGACAGAGAGTGGGTGGCTGATTCAGTGGATATGACACGTCGTACCATCTCGACCAGGCTACTCGGGAGTCCTCGATTCTTCACCAGCTAGTGTGAAATATCGCGACCAAGTGTTACAACCGTATCTTGCTTTACATTCCGTCTCACTTTTACTTGTTGTGACTTACCCTGTACTGATACAAGACAAGTAAAGAGTTACTTTTAAATACATCATCATCATCATCATCATCATCATCATCATCATCATCATCATCATCCTGATCGTGGTTGATGTCTGGTAATGTACTAGAAGACATTACTTGTTTTGTTGATGATGATTCTCACCACAACATATATATATAATATGTTAATACCCACATATGTTATAAATATATATGTATATATGAAAGATATTTAAACAAAGTAAACGACAACTGAGTAGTAATTATTTTGTTTAGTCAAGTGTTAGTGTCTTGCCGTAAAACGGCCCCGGGCAATTATTAAATCACGTTTCTAATTGATAAATTCATCAAATAATAACAATAATAATATATAATATGTGAGTTATCATTAAGTATATATTTGTTAATATACATAGATAAGAATTATTTGTTTTTACAAATAAAACTTTGGTGTAAAAGAAAAATAAACGTAGGTGTGGGAGTTTACCGCTTTAAAATTAAATTTATATGAAAATCAAATTAGCCGACATTTCAAAATTTTTAGAAATTTTTTATTGAGAAAATTTCAATTAAACAATTAAAAAAAAAATTTCACATGTAAAAAACTTGAAAAACTATGAGTGCAATTTTTTATAAATATATTTTTAGTTGTAATTTAATTAATAAAAAAAAATTATAAATTTTTAGACGTCTGCTAACTTCAGTGTCATAAATATGATACTAAAGTTAGCCGACGTTTTTAATTATTTGATTTTTTTTTTAATAATTAAATTAAAACAGAAAAATATTTTTAAAAAATTTCACTTACAGTTTTTGAAGTTTTTTACAAGTGTCATTTTTTTAAAAATTTTTTTGTAATAAATTTTTTAATAAAAAAAAATTCTAAAAATTTTCAAATGTCGGATAACTTAATTTTCAATCATAAATTTATATTTAATTGTTATTGTTATTACATATAAAAAGACTCGAAAAAAATGCAATCAACGACGACCTTAGATCTAGAAGGATCTACCGGCAGGTCGTCTGGCTGCTGCGGAGATGGCGACCACCGAGGGACTGAAGATGATGATGACCGATCAGAACGCGCGAGATCCTGCCAATTGTCTCTTTCTCTGGAGGATCGCGAGCTCTGGACTAGGTTTCAGACTATCACCAATGAGATGATTGTTACCAAAAATGGAAGGTAAGTTTTTATTTTTTTTTTTTTTCATGTATTTTCAAGTAGTCTTTGATTTCGGTGGTCGTAAAAATAAAAATTTAGTGATAAGTATTGTATTTTATATTTTTTAGTTTTATTTAGTAAGGAAATTATCTTTTGTTACAGACGGATGTTTCCAGTTGTAAAAGTTGTTGCGAGAGGTTTAGAACCGGCGGCGATGTATACCTTGCTTCTGGAATTTGTACAGATTGATCCTCACAGGTAGGAATTTATATATTCGAATAAATATGTTTTTTTTTTTTTTTTTTTTTTTTTTTTTTTTTTTTTTTAAGTAAGGGTAAAAAACGCTTTTTATTAGTTTAATTTTATAATATTATCTTTTTAATTAATTATTTAGCTAATAAATATTAATTTTATTTTCAAGTCTTTTATGATTAATAATTTAATTTACATTAATAATCATAAATTTTCAATTTTTACACCACTAAAATCATATAATTTACATCTAAAAAATTTTTTTAATTGTAAATTTACAATACTTTGTTTTTAGTAAATTTTTATAGAAAAATAACTATCAATTTTTTTTAATATTAAATTACAATTATTAATTAAATGAATAAGTTCCTTGAAAAATAAAAAAAAAAATTAATAAAGAAATTTTTTTTTGTAAAATAGATGGAAATATGTAAATGGTGAATGGGTACCAGGTGGTAAAGCTGAAGTAGCACCACCAAATCCAATCTATATCCATCCAGAGAGTCCGAATTTCGGCGCCCATTGGATGAAAGAAGCAATATCATTCGCAAAAGTTAAGCTCACTAACAAGTCAAACGGCAATGGCCAGATAATGTTGAATTCTTTGCACAAATACGAGCCCCGAGTGCATTTAGTTCGCGTCGGTGCTGAAGAACAGCGAACGGTAGTATAAGTTAAAAAAATCTGACAATTAAAAAAGAAAAAAAAAACTAATCAATTTAATTACTCTTGTAGGTTCTGACCTATAGATTTCCTGAAACACAATTTATTGCTGTAACTGCGTATCAAAATGAAGAAGTTACAGGGTTGAAAATAAAATACAATCCCTTTGCCAAGGCATTTTTGGACGCTAAAGAACGACCGACAGATCAACAAACATATCCTCAATGTATGATTTTATTTTTTATTGAAATTATTTATTAATTACCGCCTTTGAAGTAAATAATTTGTTTTATTTATTATTGATTCAGACACAAGCGCTTGGTTTTTGCCTCAACCGGCAATGACCTATGAATACGCTCCACCGTCGGCGATAGCAATGACTCAAAGTCAAGTATCTAATTCATCGTGTAATCTGTCAAATACTTGTACAGTCTCACCAGGAAGTCATAAAAGTTCATGTAGAACGTCACCTTATACTATTAGACATAAATATCTTCAAGAAGGTGAGTATTATTATTTTTTTTATTTTATCATCTATATTATTAAGAGAATAAGAAAAATTTTATCTCCAGGATAGTCATATGATAAAATCGGGTTTTTTTAGTGAAATTTAGTGTCATTACAAAGGTCTTGACTTGACTTTGTGCCTTTTTAAGGTTTCATATCATTCTCACCGATAGTCAATTTATTATGATAAATATTTAGCCTGCATTCGAAAATGCTTTATCTCTAGATACATAATTAAGAAATGGCCTTGTATCTTGTGAACTATTGACATTTTTAAAGATATAAGCTCACCCCGATTTTACACTCATCAAGACCTTTCATTTGAGTACCCACATCAATTTTTCATATATTTATATGTATTATATATATGTACATATGAAAAATATATCAAAATGCATATAGGTACTCAAATGAAAGCTCTTGATGAGTGTAACATCGGGATGAGCTTATATCTTTAAAAATGTCAGTAGTTAATAAAGTACAGTGCAATTTAACATAATTAAGAAATTATCTTGTATCTTGTGAACTATTGACATTTTTGAAGATATAAGCTCACCTCGACATTACACTCATCGATACCTTTCATTTGAGTACCTACATCAATTTTTCATATATTTATATATATTATATATATGTATATATGAAAAATATATCAAAATGCATGTGGGTACTCAAATGAAAGCTCTTGATGAGTGTAACATCGGGATGAGCTTATATCTTTAAAAATGTCAGTAGTTAAGAAAGTACAGTGCAATTTAACATAATTAAGAAATTATCTTATATCTTGTAAACTATTGACATTTTTAGAGATCAATATTTAAGAAAGTACAGTGCAATTTAACATAATTAAGAAATTATCTTATATCTTGTAAACTATTGACATTTTTAGAGATATAAGCTCATCCCGATGTTATACTCATCAAGACCTTTCATTTAAGTACCCACATCAATTTTTCATATATTTATATATATTATATATATGTATATATGAAAAATATATCAAAATGCATGTGGGTACTCAAATGAAAGCTCTTGATGAGTGTAACATCAGGATGAGCTTATATCTTTAAAAATATCAATATTTAAGAAAGACAGTGCAATTTAACAAAAGTCATTATTTAATAAAGCAAAATTTGATTTATTTATAGTTCACAAATCACGACAGTCACATAGTGACTGCAAGGTTGCTAGTTATGTATTAAGTTTGAAAAAAAATTCAAATTTACATACTTAAAAATAATAAAAATAAATTTTTCTGCATATAGAAGAAAATGTCGATCCCTACGGTACAGTACCACTTCTTCACTCAGCATACGTAACAAGTAATTGGTCACCCCGAAGTCCTGAGCCTTTACCAGCATTGAATTCATCATTGCCACAAGAATGGCCAGCGTCACCTCTACCATCACCTACTTCCTCGTCACCGGTGCCTTACACCCACCTGTCTCCACTCGGAAGACCGGGCAATTCATCAACGGTACCCACGACCTGCACATTTTACATTCCCCAAGCTTGCAACACAACCCACGAACACGAATCGTCGAATTGGCTGCATCCTGGGATGTCCGACCAAGTGACCCAGCAGCAGCAACAGCAGCAGTCTTACTTGAACCTGAACCTCCACCTGCATCACCAGTTACCGACTTACTCTCCTCGCGGAACTACTCTTCAGGTTCTCCAGCAAGCCAATGACATCACGCAGCATTCGACCGGACAGGAGCACGCGTACGACCATCAGGGATATCATCAGTCTCCAGATCAGACTCACCCTGATCAAACTCATCTGCTGGAATTGCACTCTCAAAGCGAACCGACTTCGGCTATTTCTGGCGATCAATATGACCCCAAGACTCACAATCAGAATCATAGTCATAATCATGATCTAACTGGCTATCAGGATAATCAAGACAATGACTCACGAGTGAGCGAAGCCAGACGCTATGTTACCAGTGTAATTGATCATCGACACTCGGTAGTTTCTCCAGCAGCTGCTTCTGCGACTGCTGTCAGCAATCAAAGAGATCCAGGGGATGGAGATAATCAAACTTGGACTCCGCTAACTCCATCCCCGGTCACACAAAACTCCAGTATTTGACAAAATAACTTTTTTACAATACAATACATTGTTTTGTGTTTTTAAATTAAAGATAAAAGTTACATGATATAGGATGTAGAAAATAAAAATTTTATTTTCAATATAATAATTTTAAATTAAAATTATAATCAACTTGATTAATAAAATTCCGTCCGATAAAATATTAATTATTGACTTAATAATAATAGTATATGAGTAGTCTTTAAGTAGTATATGACTTGTATATAAAAATAATTAAAACAATAAATGATTGTTCTTATTATTATAAATTTCATTTAATTAATAACTTTAATAAAATAAATTAGTTATTGTTGTTGTATAATTAAATTTTTAAAACATTAATATACATATATTATGTAAATAATATTTTATTTTAATGATTAAAGATTAGTTTGTGGGTGAATTGTGATTGCAGTTAACCAAACCAATGGTTTCCCATGCAGTCACGAGTCCAGGGGGTTTGGCACATCCAACACCACTGAAAGTTACAACCAGCACGTGTACAAAACATGTGCATACAACCACCTGAAAGAATAATAATTCACTAAAAATATTAAATCTTGGTATAAAAAAAAAAAAAAAGGTAATTATTTACAAGTCGAGTCTACCATTTTAATTTTCATTTTTTTGAACGAAATTTTTTTTTGAAAATTTTGATATTTTTTTTTTGAAAAATACATAAAAAACGAACAATTTAAAAAAAAAAGTTGATTACCACAATTTTAACGAATTTTTAAAAAAATTTATGAATTTTTTAGAAAATTGCGATATTCAACTTTTTTTTTTTATGTATTTTTCATAAAAAAAAAATATATCAAAAACATCAAAAAAAGATAAAATAAAAATTTTATCCAAAAACATGAGCCAAAATTTTTTCCAACTTTTGAAGGCAAAAAAGCTATCGAAATATTAATGTTTTAATATTTTCGATATCACCACCATTAATCCGCCGTAAAAACAAGTAGAATAAAAAAATTAAAAAATGTTAATTTTTCACCTAGATATGGCCAAAAATAAATTTGACCCCACTTGTAAATAATTACCAAAAAAAAAAAATAAATACCATCACGTTCAGTGGGCGTACGACACTTAGGACAAGGTTTTGTTGACTTCTGAATTGTTTTTGTACTTGCATCATCCCATTTAGCCTTAAAATAATAATTTACATTAAAATGTTGAGTAAAAAATAATGATGACGATAATGAATAAAAAAAAGTTAATTTTACATCTTTAGCTCTCGCAGGATCTACAGAATAACCAGACCGTGACTGAAAGCTGGAAGCAATAGACTGCTGGGTATCGCAGTCTCCCAAATGATACCCATGTAAACATTTTTTACAAAATACGTATCCACATCCTCCGACGCACTGAATTTTCCTGCAGTCTTCTTCAGTAAAATTTTCATCTGGAGCTGGAGGAATTATTCCCATACCGCAGTCTGGCTGTGGGCACAGAAGGCCACCAGCTCTGAGCACGTATTCTTCAGCTCCAAAGTGTTGATATTGATCATACTGACAACAAAATTACAAAACTAAAAATCTGAGAATATAAAATTAATAAGATAAATAAAAAAATATTTACTTGAGCAGGTTTTAGCAGTCTGAAATGATGAACTTCTCGTATATATGAATTATCACAGCCTGCTGGACAGGCTAATGTGTAATAACCAGTGCTCTGGTCAAAATCAAATTGACGTTCAGATAACTTTATACTGCAGTACTCTTTGAAGCACTCTAGACAAGTTACGTGAGCTGCCTCGCAAGGAAATACTAAAACGGTTTCTCTGTTGGAATTAAAACTATTATTGATAAATTTTACTAAGGTAAAAAACCTAATTATTGACACTTGCAATTTTATTTTAATTAAAAAAAAACAACTCTGATAAATTAATAAGTATAATTTTTGAATTATAAATTTTAAGATAACTGGTTTTTTGAGAAAATTTTATTTTTTTAATTAGAAAAAAAGTGAAAGTGTCAAACTGGGTCTTTTACATTATAAAAAAAAAAATTAAATGATTTTATAAAATAAAATGCACCTTACGTCAGTACAAGCGAGACAGGGAATTTTTCTGAGATTTGGTCGAATAAGATAGAGCGGAACCGCTTGGTCAGTTTCGCCTCTACTGGGATGATTGGCACACTTGAAGTAAAATTGCGCGTAGGGGACTTGTGTATCTGAATCGCTTGTCGGACAATTATCGTTTTCACAATGTACGGTAATACGGTTTGGCTGCATTACATCTGGCCATGACTGAGGGTCGCGATCTACAGTGACAGCTCCACTACCACAAAGTGCACACCGAACTCGTAATTTTCCTGCTTCTACTGACTTACAGGGTACTGAGCAGAATACATAAAAATGAGCCCGCTTTTCTTCTAAAAGTAAAATAAAAATATTTTAAATATTATGAATCATCTTTTGAAGCTTTATCAGTTGTAAATTTCTTATTACAATTACTACCTTGATTTAAGGGTTTAGATTTCGATTGATCATTAATTTCATTAAGCGAAAGGTCTGAGAGAGTTTCATTCATTGGTTTGCTACCAGTGTCGTCGTCTAACTCTTCAATTGACGGTGTGATACCAGTGTTTAAAGGTTTACGATTTTTACGAGGTGCTTTTACAGCATGCAGTACACTCTGCTGTCCCAAATCGCATTCCTAAAGCAGTCAAATATTAAAGCCAGCTGACAACTGTCAATTTTTTTTAATTTTTATAACAAATCAATTACAACAAAAAAAAATGTTTTAATAAATTTACACTAATTACTTTTTTTTTAATTTGTGCACGTGGAATTTTTTTATTAAATTGTTTTCGCCATAATTTCATTGCTAAAAAATTATAAAAAATTTTCTAATGCCTGTCAATTTCACTGTTATAAATTTTATTATTGATAATACTAAAATTAGCCGACATTTTTAATTTTATGATTTTTTTTTTTTCATTCATTAAATTAGAACTAAAAAATATTTAAAAAAAAAATTACACTTGTAGTTTTTCAAGTTTTTTAAAAATGAAATTTTTTTTTCAGTTTTTTTGTAATCATTTTTTCAATAAAAAAAAATTCTAAAAATTTTTAGATGTCGACTAACTTAATTATCATTTATTATTGTTCAATTTAGTGAACTTTTTTTTATTCGATAAGTAAATTATAAAATAAATTGTTTTATGATCTGAAATTATGAAAATTAAGTTAGCCGACATTTAAAAATTAAAAAGAATTTTTTTATTTGAAAATATTGAAAAGATGACTACAAAAAAAAAGAAAAAAAAATTGTCATTTGTTAAAAACTTGAAAAATTGTAAGTGCAATTTTTTAAAAATATTTTTTTGTTTTAATAATTATTAAAAAACAATCCAAAAATTAAAAACGTCGGCTAACTTTAGTATAATTCAAGACAACAGGTAGTGACAATAGGTTCCTAATTTTAATAAAAAATTAATTACCTCAATAATTGTTGAATTATGTAATTCCTTGCCAGCAAATATTATTTTAATATCTTCAGCTGGCATTCCCATCTGCGGTGCCAATATTTCTTTAACATTTTTTATATCCCACTTTGGATCCAAATCAACTGTCAGAGTGCTTCCAGTATTTGTTTTTATGTAAATACTCAATGAATTTGTTATTTTTCGTTTACCAAACCATATTAATTCCAACATTTTTATTATTGCATTTCTAATTATTGACAATAAAAAATTCATTGTTTTGTTTATTTATAAATTGGTCATTGCTTAATCAGCTGTAAAAAATTCATTAATTTAGTTATTTTGTTACAATCAAAATTTATAAAATTAAATCAATAATTATTTAAACAATAATTTCTTACCAAAATATTTATTAGTTCCTAACATTTACTGACAACTAAATAAATAAAAATATTCATCAATGTATGTAAATAAATATAAAATTATAAAACCTCAAGGTGAGTTTTTATGTATTGGAATAAATATCGGAGCCCAGATATTTTAATACATAAGCTCTTATTTACAAGTGTCATTTAAAACACACTACACAGTAGTTTATAGTTGACGTAATTTTAGAATAGACAATTGCACTCCGAAACAAAATCATTTAATAAATAAATTTATAAATAAAAGTTGAATTTATCATTAAAATAATTAAATTAAATGAATATAAATAAATATTATTTTGAAGCACATAAATAACCTGAAGTTTGTAAATAATATCATAGTGTGTTAGAGGTTATATTCGGAGAATGTGTTTTTACGAATGATTAATTAATAATATATATATATATAAGGATAATTAAAAACAAATATAGTTTATTAAGTCACAAGAGACATTTATTTCTTCAATTGTTAATATCATTGTATGTTTTTATTTAATTTGCTGAAAATGGCGTCTGGAGCTGGTAATTTTTTAAAAAATATTTTTATTAATTAATATTTACCCTATAAATGTTATCCAATAATTTTATTCATATGGTTAAAAGTTGAATTAATTAATAATTAATAATTTTTTATAGAAAATACAACAGAAGAACGTACTGAAGCAGTGCCAAGTCAGACTGTGAGTAATTCAAACTCCGAAAGTGGACATGTATGTCTCGTAATTTATTTCAACTCATTATTGAGCCTTTTGATTGAATATTAAAATTATTAATGTATTTATTTAAATATAATTTAATAGAAAAGAATTGGAGCAGACAAAGAGTCAGAATTAACCGGATCAGCACAAAAAAAATCCCGAGTTGAAATTCAGTCACTACCGACAAGGCAGTACCTAGACCAAACGGTGGTACCTATATTGCTGCAAGCACTCTCGAGTTTAGCCAAGGAACGACCTGAGGACCCGATAAATTATCTTGCTAACTACCTCCAAAAAAACAAAAGCCAGTATGACAACAGCGACTCGCCACCAGCTAGCCAATAATTAATTTGATAAAAATACACGTTAAATTTTTAATAATATACTTACATACAAACTTATTTATATTGTTATATTAAAACTAAACGTCTTCTCATCATACAACTCTCTAAGTAAAGGTAATTATTATAACTGGTAATAAACAGCTAATAAAAATAAAAATTGTTTATATATATATACATAAGGACATTGTGATGCGTAAAATATTTACTCCAACTGATTAATTTTTATAATGGACGATTTTGTAAATTTTTTGTGGTTTAGATTATAAATCATTTTTGCGAATAAATTTTTCTTAATTAAAAATTACTAAATTTAACAAGCGTATAATTATTTATGAAAATTCATTTACAATTATAGCAAAAAAAAAATTGACAAGTAGAAATTTTGAAAATTAAAAAATAATTTTTTGCAACAAATTTGTTTGTTACAAAAAAATTAAAAAATAGTCAAGTGACAGCTAACTTTAATGTCATAATTATTTACTCATGTATTTAAACACTCATTACCTGATAGTGAAAATTATCTTCCCTGTCACTTATTGATACAAATAAATTATTTATTTAACTATTATTATTTAATCCCGACAAATAATTTTTTTAAATTATTGCGCATTAATCTTCGCGCAAGAATCGCAAGAAGTACTCCAGACGCATGCGTGTACATATGTAAACACGCTCGTATTATGTAGCAATACATGTATGGACATTCACGTCATTACAAAATACTATCCACGTCTTGACGTCTATAAAAAAAAAGTTTTAGTATAACATGTTGATTAATATTTAACACAACACATGTAATATTAAAAAATAATTTTTTCCAATCAACTTCATTTACAAAGTAATAATGATCAGTCAATTTATTTTTATATTATTATTTTACAACAGTGTAAATGTCAATTTTTTTGTTTTTGGATACAACTCTGATTATCATGATATTGTCGGTGTGTATTATTCCATGATTTAAAAAATTATCATCAAAACAATTGTCATTAGTGAATTAATTTTTTAATCTAATTGTTCTAGAGAAACAAAGTAATAATATACAGGACATACTAGGTCTTAGAAATCATGTTTTGGAGCAAGACAACATCAACACTCTTCCTTATTATAGCAATGATAAGACAGAATACCAGAAAAATAATATAAGAAATGTTGACAATCCACTGAAATATGAATTGGATAATTGGACTGGTAGGTGGATGCCTGACAAAGATAGTCCTAACACTGACAAGAACACAAATATAAAAAACTTGGATGTTCCAATGAAATCCGAATTGGATAATTGGACAGGTAGATGGATGCCTGATAAAGATTCCGGGGTGGTTCCGATTCCTGTTGCTGATTCTGATAATAATCATCTTTCAGATGATAATACGCAAATGGGAAAAATTCCTCAATGTGATGACGGAAAAGTATTTATCGTATTTTTATTATTTTAATCACTTTAATTATTATTAATATTAATTAGTTAATTAAATAAATAAATTACAGAATCTTCTGGAAGTTGACTGGGATGGTTCACCGATAAATTACACATGTTTCAGTAGAAAAATAATTCCCAGTAATGAGATACACCCTGAATTGTATTGTGAGAAAATACCCAAGTTATACAGTGTGAGTAGATTACTTTAATCATAAGAGTTACTGTTTCCTGAGAATCATTTCCTGGAAATGCGAGCTCGTGGTTTTAATTTTATCTTTTTTTTTTTTTTTTATCATAAAAGCAAAGTTATAAATCATTTACATCATCAAAATTTATTATTTCAGGCTCGTCATGCATGTATGAACGAATCTATAGATTATGATGACAAAATTCCTATGTAGTATGTATTTATTTATTTAATTTTATAATTTAATTATTCATCTATTTAATTAATTGTATTATTTACATTTTAAAGTGGAACCCATCGTCCAGTTTGGCCAGTTTATGGTGAATATAAATTTGTACCAAAGCAGCGATGGATTCATAGTCTTGAAGTATGGTTTTGTCTATATTACTGTTTTTATTATTTTTTTTTTTTTGAATTAATAATATCACAAATTAAATTAATAATAAATATTATTACAGCATGGAGCAATCGTAATGCTTTATCATCCATGTGCCAATAAAAATCAAGTTAATTTATTAAGAAAACTAGTAACTCAGTGTTTACGACGACATATTATAACACCGTATGCTGAATTAGATGAAGCGCGGGTATGCATTAGTTTATTTTAAATAATTGATTCTTTAATCTATATTATTAAGACAATAAAAAAAATTTTGTGTCCAGGATAGCCATATGATAAAATCGGTTTTTTTTAGTGAAATTTAGTGTCATTGCAAAGGTCTTGATTTGAATTTGCGCCTTTTTAAAAATTTATATCATTCTCACCGAGAGAAATATTCATTATGATAAGTATTTAGGTTGCATTTGAAAATTCTCTATCGCTAGATACATAATCAAGAAATGACCTTGTATCTCGAGAACTATTGACATTTTTAAGGATATAAGCTCATTTCGATGTTACACTCATCGAGACCTTTCATTTGAGTACCCACATCAATTTTTCATATATTTATATATATGTATATATGAAAAATATACCAAAATGCATGTAGATACTCAAATGAAAGCTCTTGATAAGTGTAACATCAGGATGAGCTTATATCTTTAAAAATGTCAATAATTAAGAAAGTACAGTGCAATTTAACGTAATTAAGAAATGACCTTGTATCTCGTGAACTATTGAAATTTTTAAAGATATAAGCTCATTTCGATGTTACACTCATCGAGACCTTTCATTTGAGTACCCACATCAATTTTTCATATATTTATATATATTATATATATATGTATATATGAAAAATATATCAAAATGCATGTGGGTACTCAAATGGAAGCTCTTGATGAGTGTAACATCTGGATGAGCTTATATCTTTAAAAACGTCAATAGTTAAGAAAGTACAGTGCAATTTAACAAAAGTCATTATTTAATAAAGCATAATTTTATTTATTTATAGTTCACAAGTCACGGCAGTCACATAGTGACTGCAAGGTTGCTAATTTTTAATTATTTAAATTGTAAAACTCGACACTCTTCTTCAATTTTTTAAATATATTAACCAAACTTCATGACTAAATTTCACTAAAGACTTAGCAAATATAATTTTTATAAATAAAAATAAAAATACCGATGATATTATTTAGTGAGAGATATATGGACTTTTATTGAAAAAAAAAAAAAAAAAAAGAAATATGATTAAATCATTAATAATTATTTTACAGCCGTTCGCATTAGTGACGTGGGGTTGTCGATTAACAATGTCAACCATAAGTCCTTACATTGTTAGAAATTTTATCCTTACCAAAGCTCTTCACGGAGCTGAAACTACTCCAAAGGATGGCGAATTTAATGAAGGATTAATGCAGAAAGCTAAAACAGTATCAGATGAAAATGATTCCAAGTTATGCCCATTAGACTCCAGTGTAGTAATGATGTAATTGCTTAATAATGTTCATCGACATTATTTATATTATCATTACTACTAAAACTCAATAATTATTTGTTAATTTACAAACTTATCCGCCAATATTCCATTAAGTTAATTAACATTAAAAATTTATGATAGCTTTTATTTTTATGTAAATAATTTATTTAATATGTTAAATATATCTATGATAACATAAATTTACGATTAATTATATTTAAAAATTATTTTTACAATTTTAGAATTATCTAGACTCAGTATACTGAAAGTTTTGTAAGTTTGCAGATTAGAAAAAATTAAATTTAATCTTAACACCGTAAAATATGTAAACAAATTATGAAATTTTTTGAATATTATAGGACCAGTGAAAAAAATATAATTTAATCGATTGTTAATTGATTATAAAACTAATTTTTAACCCAGTAATTATATAAGTAATTAGTCTATTAATTAAATAAGTGATAAATAATAAAAATTTTATTTATTATTTAAAGAAAATAAATAAAAGTAAAGTGACAATAGATAAATGACAAAAATTCCAAGAAATGACTTCTTAAATTTAATTTAATACTCGACAATATTTAGCAAACAATTCTTTATGCTTCTCAAACATTCTTTAGCTTAGAATTAATGTGTAAGCAAATAACAAAGCCCTTTTAGAAGGACATCGAACCAATCAAAGCCTAGACTTACCCCCAGATCAAGCTATTAATTCATCTAGTGCTTAAATACTTGACAAGATGCAGAGTCTTAATTTAATAATATGTTTATTGTTTTTAACCATCAACATTAATTTGGTTCTTGGATTTCCTCCGTTTTCCAGTAAGTTTTTTATATATTTTCTCATATATTCTTCTTTGAATATTTTGAATAAATTTATTTTTAGTGATTGTGAAAGTATTTTATTGTTTAATTAATTATAAAACGAATTTTTCATAAAGATTACGGCCATGAGTATGAAGTAAATTACTCTCAAGGAGGAAAACATATGATAACAAATATCAATGGTGCGGAAGAAGAAATAATCACTGCTGACGAGCCATTAAGGTAGTTGTAGCGTTAAAAGCATTTCAACAGAAAGTTATGAAATTTTTTTTATCGAAAGATAAATATATTAATAATTCACTACCAAAATTTCAGATCAATTGACCGCACTGTTTCGGAGTAATTAATTTTCAAAATCGCATCTTTTACACGTAGAGGTATAGAGAGATGATAAAGTTAGTATGAAATCTTTGGCCCACTCGAGTGGTACGGAAGATTTCATACTAACTTTATCATCTCTCTATACCTCTACGTGTAAAAGATGCGATTTCGAAAATTAATTACTCAAAAACGGTGCGGTCAATTGATCTGAAATTTTGGTAGTGAATTATTAATATATTTATCTTTCGATAAAAAAAATTTCATAACTTTCTGTTGAAATGCCTTTCACGCTACAACTACCTTAAGCGGCCATAACACTGAGTTTTTCACTGATGAGATTGAAAAGTATCCAGATTTATTACCGTCTCTTGAATACACGTTAGCTGACTTGGAATTCTTGAACAAAGGAGACACGCAATACTTCTACATACCATCTTTGCCAAATAATTATGACAGTATTAATGAAAAAGTAAATTCAAATAATGAGATTAAATTTCCATTAGATTTTTACAACAAATAGAATTTTAGAATTACAAGATATTATAGATCATAAAAATTCTGATGGAAAAGACATAATAATAGATTACGACGTTGATGATTATTGGAGGCCTTCATTAAACTTTGGAAATTTTTATGACCGGAAAACTTTACAAGATATCGTTCCAATATCAAAACGCGACACTTATCAGATTACTGCATCTCCTGAATATATTTTTGAAGAACCCGATTATACTAACTACAATAATTACATGAAGCAATTAGAAATTGATACACAAAAAGAAAAAGAAAAATTGAATAATTCAATTATGCCAGAGGAAGAAAAGTCTCAGAAATCCGATAAAAATCTTAACATCACGCCAAAATCTGCCGAGAGAATTAAACCGATAATAGACAAGAGCTGTGATGATGGAAGAGTAATTATTTTTATCCATTTATTTATTGTGAATCATAAATTTTAGTACATATTATAAAATTACTGATTTATTTTTATTATTTTGTTTGCAGACAAACTTGGAAGTTGATTGGGACTGCTCAAAGGGTGATTACGAGTGCAATGCTGATGTTGAAATACCACCAAACCATCGCCCTTCGACTTTGTACTGTGATCCATCAGCTTCAGTTGTACAGGTATTTTTTTCTGAATTTTTTGCACTTGATCCTTTTGTTTACAATTAATAAAAACAATATTTTAATTTCTTTTCAGCCAAAAACTCATTGTATGAATGAAACATTGGAATACAGCGAGTTAATTCCTGTTATGTAAGTGATCAAGATTATTAAACAAATAAAATTTATTATAAATTTTAATTATCAATTAATAAATATTAAAATCATTTTTTCAGTGGTGACTACCGTCCAATTGCCCCACAATTAGGAGAGTACAAATTTATTCCTAAACAACGATGGCTCAATAGTTTAGACGTAATTATTTTTTTTTTTTTTAAATTAGCGAATTTTATTTTCAATTTATTGAAGAATTCATTTATTTTTCTTTTTCTCTTTATTTTACAGAATGACGCAGTAGTGTTACTCTATCATCCGTGTGCTGAGAGATCTGCAATTAATAAACTGAGATTACTGATAATGAGATACTATGAACGTTATATTTTCACTCCGTACAACTTGGAAGAAACAGCGGTATTTATTATTAAAATAGAATTTATCATAAATTTTAACTGAAATGTTTTTTTTTTTGTATTTACTAGAATTTTAATTACAATAATTTTCTTTTTTGTTGCTAGCCATTCGCCATAGTGGTCAAAGGATGTCGTTTAGTAATGTCACGAGTGGTACCAAATGAAGTGGCGCACTTTTTACAGGACCATGGACCTCAAAAAGTACCATTGGGAGAGCCAAATGACAAAAAAACCGAAATACAATTTGGGACTGATTGAAGAAAACCGACCTCATCATCTCTTTGGACTCATTTATCAATTATCATAATAAGTTTACATGATTCTATTATAATAATAGCTACAATTATTATTATCATTATTGGTTAGTTAAACAGTTAATCAATAAGACAATTAAATTTAATTCAAAATTGATAATTTTTAGTAAAGTTAGAAATTTTATTAATTATTTGATCAGCTCTTTTGATATTAATTATTATCATGAATAATCATGTCGACGAATTTCAATTTTGTGTGCCTAATTTTTAAAAATTTATTGACAAGAAATTGTAATAAAATAATTATTTTAACAAATCTAGAATTTTTTTAGAGAAAAAAAAAAGACAAAATTTGTACATTAATATAGTTTGGAATAAATAGCTTGTTAAAATAATGAAAAAAATTTTGTAATTACTTCTAATAATAATAATAATAATAATAATCAGGAAAATAAGTAATAATAATTAAAAAAATGAATGAGTATTTTTCAAATTTTTATTTTAATTTTCATTTATCATTCAAAATGTAATCAGTGCTATAATATTCTGATATTTTACATATTAATATTATTATTATATTAAATATATATGCATATGTATGTATATATATATAATATAATATATCAATGAATTATAAATATAAAATTAACGTAATAGATATCTACTATATTATAATGTAAAATATACACTGAACTATCTGAATATATTTCATAGTGGTAAGTTATAACGTAAAAGAATATAATTGTACATTAACAAGTGATTTATTTTATTTTATTTATTTATCAATGTTTCGGTTTTGTTTCTGCCATTAAATCCTTTGCTTTTTAATAAATAATTATTTACTTGCTTGCCGTATCTTTTCTACCCGGTAAGTGTACGATCAAACTGACCGGCGCCTTTAAGGATAATTATTGTTTGTTTTTACTCACAACTTTAGGATTTTAAATGATTAATCAGTTAACTAATTAAGTACATACAACTATCTGTAATAATATTTATCATAAATTCTATTTTACACAATTATTTCATTGTTTTTATTCACATTGTTTGATTGAAAGCTATTTTATGCGCGTATATTCTTCACTATGTATTCTTTCTTACAGTATAGTAAATATAGCACAGTAATAGCTTCTTAACATTTATCATTAATAATAATTATAGTTTATCATTATTAATAAATGTTAAAAAAAAAGAAGAATAATTTCTACAGGTAGTTACATAAAAAAAAAAAACCGAATTTTTAATTATCTCATATAATAAGTGAAGAAATGATAGATGATAGTTTATAAAGTAGGCTACTGAAGGTTAATTTATCTCAAGCTACATAAATTGATATGATTGTTACAAATGAGCAATAGTGTCTCCAAAGGCCTGCCAGTTTGATACGTAAACAATTTAATACTTCTATCCTTAATATTTCATAAACTTTTAATTAATTGTCGTAATGGTTCATTTAAATAAACTACATCTAGTATAACTTGGTAGAGAAATTTAATATCTTCAGCTTGTTATTTGCAATTTTGAATTTATAAACTACGCACTTGTTCTTTTTTATCGTCTTCTTTGTGCAGGTTACACATTTTAGAAAGGGCACAGTTTTAATATATATTTATATATAATAATAATTATAATTTATAATGATAATAATAATAGAATAAAATCACATACTGTCTACCATAATCATCACCCATTGACTCAACATGTGGTAATTTATTTGATAATTATAATTAATATTAATATTAACGCAGGCTTATTAAATACTCAAAGCGTTGCCTCTGATTAAACAATGCGGTGAATTTATACTTTTTTTAGAGTCTTGTCACCTAGACAGGAATTTTTTTATTAATATATCTTCCTGCTGATTAATAAGCTGAATTATTATCGATAAAGATAGTTAATTAATTAGTAGATAGCAAAGTCATATCTTTTATTCTGATATGCTCGATATGCAGTTGCTGAAAGCGAAGTAATGATTATGGAAGGTACTTAATATTATTGCCAACTTTGTACAGTATTGTATTGATCTTTTATTTATTTTTTTTTCTTTATTAATATTTTTCCTTAATATTTAAAAAATTAATAATAAATAATCATAATTTACGACACGTAATTATTTAGGCAGAAAACACAATTGATTTATTTAGTTTTTTTTTTTTCATACATTATAATTTTTATTATTATTCATTTCTTCCTAGTAATAACCTACAATAAAAAGTACTCGTATTTTAAAATGCTTGTTGTTTATTATTTTTAAATTTAATAATTTGCTACATTTAAGTAAATTTTTTTTTTAATTATTTTATTAATTATCAATAATCTCACTTTGTCGCAATAATGCCGAGTGCTATCTTCACCATTTTCTATTAATTTATTTCCCCCGTAATTAGTAAATTTAATTAATTAATAAATTGTTTATTTTTTTTTTAATTTTTTTTTTTTCATACGTACTGAGTTTAATTTAAAGTGAAATTGACGATCATAAGGATATTGAAATAGATCTTTAAAATATGTTGTTAGTTTCGTTATTAATTAATTAATTTTTTTTTTCTTTTAATAATTGCACAGTTGTGACACGACCCATTTACATTTTTGATGTTTATTTAATGTCGTGTTGTAATTATCACACTTTAATAAATCACTGCTAAAATTATTTTGTCACATCGCGAGGAAATATTTATTAAGTAGATAATTATTTTTTTAATAGCTTAATATATTAATAGGAAGTATATGTTGTAGATGGAGGGAGAAATAAAATTTTAAAACGCTTAATTTAAAGTGAAATTGACGATCATAAGGATATTGAAATAGATTTTAAAATATGTTTGTTAGTTTCGTTATTAATTAATTAATTTTTTTTTTCTTTTAATAATTGCACAGTTGTGACACGACCCATTTACATTTTTGATGTTTATTTAATGTCGTGTTGTAATTATCACACTTTAATTTACTAATTGTAATTTTTTTTGTTCATTTATTTATTATACACATTTACTATTTATAATTTATATTCATTTATTAAACCCATTTCACGTTAATAAAATTCCAATAATTATTAATCTCTTAAATAAATTTCATTATTCAAATATACAAAAATGCAGATGAGTTGCGTTTCAGCGTTGCCAATTAATTATTTAATCCAATAATCAAAAGTTTATCTATTCATTTATTTTGTTTTTTCTTTTTTTTAATAATAAAAATCGCACATTTCTGCATGCATATTAATGTAATATAATTAAATGCAATTAATTATCAATAATAACAACGATAATTATTTAATAAAGGTCGAGGTTGAATGCTGTGCTCTTTAAAATTATTTATCCTCGATAATTTTATTAACTAATAATTAAACATTACTGTTACAGTAACTTAAGCCTCAATTACATCTTTATAAATTTTTTTTCATCAAATTTTGTTTTTTACATTATTTTATTAGGAAGACAATCTTCCAAGTACACTAAGTACCCGTTTTTAAAATCATTTTTTTTTTCCAATTTAAATTAGCGAATAAACGTTTTTAAAATTTTAAAGCGTTTAATTATATATATTTATAGAATTATAATTTTAATAAAAATTTTTTTTGTGGTGTAATTATAAAACTTAAAATCGAATTAATAAAACAAGATTTTTTACAGAAGAAAATTTTCATTAACTGAATTATCTATACACAGAGTAATGAATAATTAATTCAATTAGTATTCTGCTTGAATAGTAATTATACTATATTAAATAAAGTAAAATTTCGCACAACTAAATACTGAGGATAATGAAACTGAATACAAGGCAATGGCACTAGAGCAGAGTCAACCTCAACGAATGAAGTTTAGGCCAAACTCGTTAATACACAGTCGATTGTGCACTTCTAATTATATATCAATATCAATAAATATAATATAACATTATTTTATTATTATTATTATTATTTAATATTTATAATTCATTATTGTTTTACTTATTAAATCTAATTGATAAGAAAGTAATATTTTAAATAAAGTTTTTCTTCTCTCAATTCCTATTTAATGAAGATTGCCTAAGCTACGCTAATTTTTTTTCAATTTTTTCTTTAATTATTAATGCTTATTTCTACGCCTGACTAGTTTTATTATAATTCATTATTATTACACACATCAATGTTTCAGAGAGTGAAAAATTGCTCTTATTTCAATAATTGAATAAAGTACATTAATTAAACAAATATCAAATTAATTACTCGCATGAACAGTAAAATTAATAAATAAATAATTCATATACTCAATCGTGTACTTTATTCAATTAATAGATTAATTCATTTTTTACATTCAATAATTTACAGTATTAAAATAATAATAATAATAATAAATAATTATAATATTTATTAATTATATTATGATGATCATTGATTGTATAGTTAGTTAAGATAAATGTGCTCTCTATCTAAAATATTGTATTTATTTAAAATTACGTACAAGCGAATAAAATTTTATTTTTCACTTGAAAAATTCCATTTGAAAAAAATAAAACAAAAAAATGGAGATTTATTCTCTTGAACTGTTAAATTAAATATTGTAGGCAATTATTTTTAAATATTTATTTTTTTCAATAATTATCCTTGACAGATCCTATACAACATTAATATAGAGATACATTACCCACTTTAATTATTATTTTTTTTTTTTTAGTTTATTTATTTAGGTAAGCTTATTTAGTTTAATGAACACCGAGAAAGCTTATGCAATTGCTTGCTTCAACACAATTAGTATCACCGCTGCACTCTGTATAGTAACGCACTCTCACCAGAATTAATCAACTTATTATTTATTATTAATCAAGTTCTTTGTCATTATTAATTCAGGTTTTTTAATTCTTAAATTTCATTTAATTCAAAATTTCCATTCTCGTTTTTCAATAAAATTCTTCATGTTTTTCTTTGTCTTCTTCATACAATTACATTACAGAGATGTTTTTTAACTATCATTGCATAATTGTAATTGTATTCACACCTTCTCTGTTTAATCGATTTCATGAGAT